TCAGGGAAGCAGCAGAATATTTTTTTAAATACTTTTTTGTAAAAAGTTTTATCTTTTAAAAACTGTCATTGAGCTCCAGTCCAGTGACTTTTGCCTATGCTTGGATATTATCAGTCTGCTGCAGGCAGGAAGAAAGCATTTACTCAGTCTCCTCTCCCCCACCACCATGTTCAGATTGCAATATTGTAACTCTTTAGAAAGTCACAAGGGGAGAGGCCACACCTGTCTCAGGTGGAGGCTGATATGCGTCAGCAAATTGAGAAGACAGTCAAGAACTGCACAGGCACCAAAATTTAGGACTCAATTACACTTGCAGCATTGGGGCTGCGTTGGGCATTTTCCCAATGTTCATAGCTTCAGTTCACATGAATACGTTGGTGTGCACTATGTGACAATGAATGGCAACAGCGCACACGTGTTTCATGCGCTGTTTGGTGTGAATGAGCCCTTACATTGTTTGTCCAGCATCATTGTGCCATGTCAGATCCAGCATCTCAGTTAATGAAGTAAATGCTGACCTTGGTGATGCCTGAACAAAGATGGTCCTGTCCTTCTGGGGAGGAGGGAGTACTTTGATCCCTGTGATAAATAATAACTGCACGTGTAACACCTACACAACAATACGCATGAATGCACTAAATATAGAAAATATTGTATATCTGATGCTAAGTCTGCTTTATATATAAGCCCTTCAACCATAAATATGGGTTAGTGTGTTGATTCAGCAGCAGGATGGAGCTGCCTTCTTGTCTTTGGCACAGCACAGTCCTACCTCTGGAACACATTGCTTTTCAATGGATTTCCAAGGCTGGGCTGCAGTGGCACAAAAGCAATGTCTGCTAAAGAAGGGGAAGCAAATCGTTTTTTTTTTTTTAATCCTTTATTTGAAAAAGCCTGTTATTCTGCTTGCTGTTGTGACTTTTTCATAATGCTTTATCAAAAAAAGGAAAAATGTAGCATCGCCTTTCTGTTTCAATATTTTTATTGAGAAAATTCTGTTTTAAGAATACAACAAGCTCAAGATACGCCCACGCAGGGGCAGAGCAGAACAATAACATACATAAACAGATACATCCTGCTGACTTGTATTAGCCAAATAACAGAATGTCCAATGACATCAAGGAGGGACAGCAAAAAGCCAAACCAAATAATAGCAGCAGCAATGCATCATATTACCGGAAAAAGAAGAGGAAAGAAAAAAAAAAAAAGTTAGAAGGAAGGATAAAGGAAATATAAAAACATAGAGAGAAAGAAAAAAAAAAAGGAATCAGAAAGAAAACATGGAGGAAAAGAAAAACTAGAAGAATCACGGATCCAGGGCTAGCACAGGCAAAGAGTAGAGATGAGCGAAGTATTCAATAATTCGATTCGGCTGATTCGGCGAATTCGAGGAATAAATTCGATTCGATGCGAATATATTCGCTGCGATTTTAACTTATAAAAGGGTGTTTCTAGGCTTCAGAGAGCCTTTATATTAGTGCAGAACACTGTACCTTTAATTTAAATGCCCTTGGAGTCTGCTGGGGAAGAGAAATAATACTGTCAGTCAGTATGACATGCAGATGAGTGCCGTCGATCTTAGAATCACCGCACACTTCACTCATTTGGCCAGTCACGGGGCCAAAACCAGAGTGTGGAGCCACAGTGCGGCGGTGGAGGTAGCAGCAATGGGAGGCCATACAGCACCCTATGACAAAAATGGAACCCACCAGCAGTGTGAGGAGACCTGAAAGTGGCACATGGCAGAGTGTGGCGATGGAGACAGCAGCAATGGGAGGCCGTACAGGGACCCATGACACACTCTGGACCTGGCAGCAGCATGAGGAGGCGGTACAGGGGCCCATGGCAGATTACGGGCCTGGCAGCAGCAATGGGAGGCCCGTAATCTGCCAGCACCCTATGACAAAATGGAACACACCAGCAGTGTGAGGAGACCTGAAAGTGGCACATGGCAGAGTGTGGCGATGGAGACAGCAGCAATGGGAGGCCGTACATGGACCCATGAGAGACTCTGGACCTGGCAGCAGCATGAGGAGGCGGTACAGGGGCCCATGGCAGATTACGGGCCTGGCAGCAGCAATGAGAGGCCCGTAATCTGCCAGCACCCTATGACAAAATGGAACCCACCAGTAGTGTGAGGAGACCTGAAAGTGGCACATGTTTGGGGCATGATTCATGGCGGATTTAGTCAGTTGTGTCAGGAACTGGTGGTTTGAAATCCAGACTAATCCACGCCTGATTCATTTTCACAAACGTGAGTCTCTCCACACTTTGGGTGGACAGTCGTGTCCTCCGCGGAGTTACAATACCTCCTGCCGCACTAAACACGCGCTCCGATGCCACGCTACTGGCCTGGCATGACAGCCTTTCAAGGGCAAATTCAGCTAGTTGGGGCCAAAGGTCAAGTTTTGTTGCCCAGTAGTCAAGGGGATTGTCTACCTCGGTTGGCAGGGTGCTGTCCAAGTAGGCCCAAGCCTGTTGTTTGAGGTCCTGCTCCAGGTCCACCTGATGCTGCTGCTGCTGCTGCGGCTGGTTAGTAGTTTCCTCACTGCGCTGGTGAAGAAAGCTACTCATCATCGACTGCAGACTGAGGCAGCCGCTGCTGGTGGAGCTGCCACTGCTCCTACCACCCCACCCCTCCCCTGCTGCCATGGCAGCGGAACGCGAGCGCACAGGGCCCACAGTGTCTGAGGATGGACGTTGGCGCAGAAAGGCAGAGACCAGCTGACTATATAGGTGGTTTTTATAGTACGTTATTTTGGCCTCCCTCTCAGCAGGTGTGAAAAAGGCCACCATTTTTGAATGGTAGCGAGGGTCCAACAAGGTGGACAGCCAAAAGTCATCCCTCTGTCTGATGGTTATTATTCGGCTGTTGCTACGCAAGCAACCGAGCATGCTATGGGCCATTTGTGCCAAGGAATGCGAGGGACTCCCTGCCTCCATCCCCACAGCATACTGCCACGGTGCGTCTGGGTCCTCTGTCTCCTCCTCCTCCTCCTCTACCAGATGCTCCTGCTCCTCCACTCCTGTCCGCTGAGTGGAAAAACCACCCATTTCACTCAATAATTCCTGAGCACCAATGTCCTCCTCTACCTCCTCCTCTTCTTCCTGTCCTGCCCCCACAGGGGTCATGTGGCGTTGAGATCTGTGCGGAACGTCTACCGCACCCTGACCAGCCATTGTTAACAGCATTTGTTCCAGGACGTGCAACAGAGGAATGACGTCGTTCATCCCATAGTCCTGCCGACTCACGAATAGCGTGGCCTCCTCAAAGGGCCTGAGCAAGCGGCAGGTGTCACGCATGAGCTGCCAATGGCTGACATCTAAGTTACACAGGGAGTACCTTTATCCGCTTGTAACATCAGGAAATCTGTGATGGCCTTTCGCTGTTCGTAAAGGCGGTCTAACATATGTAGGGTTGAATTCCACCTTGTTGCAACGTCACAGCATGAGGAGTCGGTACGGGGGCCCATGGCAGATAACGGGCCTGGCAGCAGCAATGGGAGGCCCGTAATCTGCCAGCACCCTATGACAAAAAATGGAACACACCAGCAGTGTGAGGAGACCTGAAAGTGGCACATGGCAGAGTGGGGCGATGGAGACAGCAGCAATGGAGGCCGTACAGGGACCCATGAGAGACTCTGGACCTGGCAGCAGCATGAGGAGGCGGTACAGGGGCCCATGGCAGATTACAGGCCTGGCAGCAGCAATGAGAGGCCCGTAATCTGCCAGTACCCTATGACAAAAAATGGAACCCACCAGCAGTGTGAGGAGACCTGAAAGTGGCACATGGCAGAGTGTGGCGATGGAGACAGCAGCAATGGGAGGCCGTACAGGGACCCATGAGAGACTCTGGACCTGGCAGCAGCATGAGGAGGCGGTACAGGGGCCCATGGCAGATTACAGGCCTGGCAGCAGCAATGAAGAGGCCCGTAATCTGCCAGCACCCTATGACAAAAAATGGAACCCACCAGCAGTGTGAGGAGACCTGAAAGTGGCACATGGCAGAGTGTGGCGATGGAGACAGCAGCAATGGGAGGCCGTACAGGGACCCATGAGAGACTCTGGACCTGGCAGCAGCATGAGGAGGCGGTACGAGGGGCCCATGGCAGATTACGGGCCTGGCAGCAGCAATGAGAGAGGCCCGTAAATCTGCCAGCACCCTATGACAAAAAATGTAACACACCAGCAGTGTGAGAAGACATGAAAGTGGCACATGGCAGAGTGTGGCGATGGAGACAGCAGCAATGGGAGGCCGTACAGGGACCCATGAGAGACTCTGGACCTGGCAGCAGCATGAGGAGGTGGTACAGGGGCCCATGGCAGATTACAGGCCTGGCGGCAGCAATGAGAGGCCCCTAATCTGCCAGCACCCTATGACAAAAAATGGAACACACCAGCAGTGTGAGGAGACCTGAAAGTGGCACATGGCAGAGTGTGGCGATGGAGACAGCAGCAATGGGAGGCCGTACAGGGACCTATGAGCGACTCTGGACCTGGCAGCAGCATGAGGAGGCGGTACAGGGGCCCATGGCAGATTACGGGCCTGGCAGCAGCAATGAGAGGCCCGTAATCTGCCAGCACCCTATGACAAAAAATGTAACACACCAGCAGTGTGAGGAGACCTGAAAGTGGCACATGGCAGAGTGCGGCGATGGAGACAGCAGCAATGGGAGGCCGTACAGGGACCCATGAGAGACTCTGGACCTGGTAGCAGCATGAGGAGGGCGGTACAGGGGCCCATGGCAGATTACGGGCCTGGCAGCAGCAATGAGAAGCCCGTAATCTGCCAGCACCCTATGATAAAAAATGTAACACACCAGCAGTGTGAGGAGACCTGAAAGTGGCACATGGCAGAGTGTGGCGATGGAGACAGCAGCAATGGGAGGCCGTACAGGGACCCATGAGAGACTCTGGACCTGGCAGCAGCATGAGGAGCGGTACAGGGGCCCATGGCAGATTACGGCCCTGGCAGCAGCAATGGGAGGCCCGTAATCTGCCAGCACCCTATGACAAAAAATGGAACCCACCAGCAGTGTGAGGAGACCTGAAAGTGGCACATGGCAGAGTGTGGCGATGGAGACAGCAGTAATGGGAGGCCGTACAGGGACCCATGAGAGACTCTGGACCTGGCAGCAGCATGAGGAGGCGGTACAGGGGCCCATGGCAGATTACGGGCCTGGCAGCAGCAATGGGAGGCCCATAATCTGCCAGCACCCTATGACAAAAAATGGAACCCACCAGCAGTGTGAGGAGACCTGAAAGTGGCACATGGCAGAGTGTGGCGATGGAGACAGCAGCAATGGGAGGCCGTACAGGGACCCATGAGAGACTCTGGACCTGGCAGCAGCATGAGGAGGCGGTACAGGGGCCCATGGCAGATTACGGGCCTGGCAGCAGCAATGAGAGGCCCGTAATCTGCCAGCACCCTATGACAAAAAATGGTAACACACCAGCAGTGTGAGGAGACCTGAAAGTGGCACATGGCAGAGTCTGGCGATGGAGACAGCAGCAATGGGAGGCCGTACAGGGACCCATGAGAGACTCTGGACCTGGCAGCAGCATGAGGAGGCGGTACAGGGGCCCATGGCAGATTACGGGCCTGGCAGCAGCAATGGGAGGCCCGTAATCTGCCAGCACCCTATGACAAAAAATGTAACACACCAGCAGTGTGAGGAGACCTGAAAGTGGCACATGTTTGGGCATGATTCATGGCGGATTTAGTCAGTTGTGTCAGGAACTGTTGGTTTGAAATCCAGACTAATCCACGCCTGATTCATTTTCACAAACGTGAGTCTCTCCACACTTTGGGTGGACAGTCGTGTCCTCCGCTGAGTTACAATACCTCCTGCCGCACTAAACACGCGCTCCGATGCCACGCTACTGGCCGGGCATGACAGCCTTTCAAGGGCAATTTCAGCTAGTTGGGGCCAAAGGTCAAGTTTTGTTGCCCAGTAGTCAAGGGGATTGTCTACCTCGGTTGGCAGGGTGCTGTCCAAGTAGGCCCAAGCCTGTTGTTTGAGGTCCTGCTCCAGGTCCACCTGATGCTGCTGGTGCTGCTGCGGCTGGTTAGTAGTTTCCTCACTGCGCTGGTGAAGAAAGCTACTCATCATCGACTGCAGACTGAGGCAGCCGCTGCTGGTGGAGCTGCCACTGCTCCTACCACCCCACCCCTCCCCCTGCTGCCATGGCAGCGGAACGCGAGCGCACAGGGCCCACAGTGTCTGAGGATGGACGTTGGCGCAGAAAGGCAGAGACCAACTGACTACATAGGTGGTTTTTATAGTACGTTATTTTGGCCTCCCTCTCAGCAGGTGTGAAAAAGGCCACCATTTTTGAACGGTAGCGAGGGTCCAACAAGGTGGACAGCCAAAAGTCATCCCTCTGTCTGATGGTTATTATTCGGCTGTCGCTACGCAAGCAACCGAGCATGCTATGGGCCATTTGTGCCAAGGAATGCGAGGGACTCCCTGCCTCCATCTCCACAGCATACTGCCACGGTGCGTCTGGGTCCTCTGTCTCCTCCTCCTCCTCCTCTACCAGATGCTCCTGCTCCTCCACTCCTGTCCGCTGAGTGGAAAAAAAACACCATTTCACTCAATAATTCCTGAGCACAAATGTCCTCCTCTACCTCCTCCTCTTCTTCCTGTCCTGCCCCCACAGGGGTCATGTGGCGTTGAGATCTGTGCGCCACGTCTACCGCACCCTGACCAGCCATTGTTAACAGCATTTGTTCCAGGACGTGCAACAGAGGAATGACGTCGTTCATCCCATAGTCCTGCCGACTCACGAATAGCGTGGCCTCCTCAAAGGGCCTGAGCAAGCGGCAGGTGTCACGCATGAGCTGCCAATGGCTGACATCAAAGTTACACAGGGGAGTACCTTTATCCGCTTGTAACATCAGGAAATCTGGTGATGGCCTTTCGCTGTTCGTAAAGGCGGTCTAACATGTGTAGGGTTGAATTCCACCTTGTTGCAACGTCGCAGATCAGGCGATGCTGTGGAATTCCGTTCTGCCGCTGCAGCTCAAGGAGGGTGTGCTTTGCGGTGTAGGAATGGCTGAAATGCATGCAAAGTTTACGTGACATTTTAAGGATGTCTTGCAGTGGGATGGTGGATTTTAGGAACCGCTTGACAACAAGATTGAACACGTGAGCCATGCATGGCGCATGGCACAACCTTCCTTGACGCAGAGCAGACACCATGTTCTTTCCGTTGTCGGTCAACATGGTTCCGATTTTCAGTTTGCGCGGAGACAGCCATCTGTCGATTTCTCTGTTCATTACACTCAGAAGTTCCTCCCCTGTGTGACTACGTTCGCCAAGGCATACCAGGTGCAGCACAGCGTGACACCGTTGCGCCCTGCACATGTGATATGCCGGTCGGGGTAATGGGACTTGGCACGGGGGTGGCGGCTGAGGACACGGCGGAAGAAGAGGTGGTAGAGGTGTCCAAGTTGCTGGTGCGGCTGTGCCGGCACCACGTTCACCCAGTGGGCCGTAAATGACATGTACTGTCCCTGACCGTAGTTACAGCTCCACACGTCGGCGCTGCCGTGCACTTTGGCAGAGACCGACATGCTCAAAGACTGGCCCACCATCTCTTCTACATGTGAATGCAGGGCTGGCACTGCCTTTTTGGCGAAGAAATGACGGCTTGGCACTCTCCACCGCGGCGCGGCACAAGCCATCATTTCTCGGAAAGGTGCTGAGTCCACCACTTGGAAAGGGAGGGACTGCAGCACCAGCAACTTGGACAGGAGGACGTTCAGCTTTTGCACCGTCGGGTGCGTGCTCGCAAACTGTTGTCTCTTGGAAACGGATTCCAAGAAAGACTGCTGACGGAATCCGTGAAGAGGAGTAGCAGGAGAAGGAGCATCTGAACGAGCGGAAGATGCCAACGAGCGACAACTCCCCTCAGCAGAGGTGTTGGAGCCTTGACTGGCTGATAGAGGGCGATTGACGTCGGGTGACGGAGCAAGTAACGGAGCGGGTGATGGAGCGGGGGCTGGGGCAGGCAGAACCGCCGTATCTTTATCACGGTTTTCCCAGGCCACCAAATGGCGACGCTGCATATGCTGCCGCAACGCTGTAGTCCCAACATGGGCCCCCTGGCCACGCTTGACTTTCTGGCCACATAGTCGACATACGGCTACGTTTACTTCCTCGGGCGGCTTGACGAAAAATTGCCACACCGCCGAGTAGGAAACTTTGCCCCCGCTACTCCTCACTGGCTGACTGCTACTTCCTCCGTGCACACCGGCACCACTACTGGCCGTGGTGGTAGGCTGCAGTGGAGCTGGTGCTCTACTCCGTGGCCGTTTGCCTCCACTGACACTGCTGCGACCCTGCTGCCTCCTGGGCAACCCACCGACTGTTTTGCTCGCTGCCAAGCTGCACCCTCTTCTCCTGATGATGCGGAAGCAATAGCCTGATGACGACGAGGCTGCCAAGTGCGATCAGCCTCATCATCATCAATTAGGGTCTCCGCCTCACTACTAGCCCCCTCGGCTGCGTGTGGGTCAGGAGACAGACCTGTCTCTAGACCGGCTACCGAGCCACTCTCCTCGCCACTACTTCTTCGCCTGGCTGCTGAAGAGGCGGATGTCTCCCCCCGTTCCTGACCGCCCTCTGTTAGCTCTTCCTCACTGTACAGTGGGGCTGAGCCCACAGCATGCGATACTTCGCTTGGTGAGGGAACACCAAAGGACAGGGGCAGGTAGAGGACACGTGATTTCAGTGGGCTTGCTCCCGGGCCATGCCAACTAACGGTTGTGTCTGACGTACCCACCGACCGTTGGCTGTAGGTGTCAGAGGTGACCTGGGAAGAGGAAGACGACCGAGCCAACCAATCGATGACGGCAGGGTTTGTCGGTGGAGACACGACCGCTGGATGACACCGGGAGCAATGGCCTCTGGCTGCGACTAGTGCTGCCTCGACCCCTTCCTCTGCTGCCACGTCTGCTCGCTCCTAAAACATTGCCTCCTCTGCCACTCCTCTGCATGTTGTCTGACATACTCTTTAATTCAACGATTATGTGTCCCTGAGTAACAATTCTGTGTCCCTGAGTAACAATTCTGTGTCTGTCCCTGAGTAACAATTCTGTGTCCCTGAGTAACAATTCTGTGTCCCTCAGTAACAATTCTGTGTCCCTCAGTAACAATTCTGTGTCCCTCAGTAACAATTCTGTGTCCCTCAGTAACAATTCTGTGTCCCTGAGTAGTAACAATTCTGTGTCTGTCCCTGAGTAACAATTCTGTGTCCCTCAGTAACAATTCTGTGTCCCTCAGTAAACAATTCTGTGTCTGTCCCTGAGTAACAATTCTGTGTCCCTGTCCCTACTCTGTAACAATTCTGTGTCCCTCAGTAACAATTCTGTGTCCCTCAGTAACAATTCTGTGTCCCTGAGTAACAATTCTGTCTGTCCCTGAGTAACAATTCTGTCCCTGAGTAACAATTCTGTGTCCCTCAGTAACAATTCTGTGTCCCTGAGTAACAATTCTGTGTCCTCCCTGAGTAACAATTCTGTGTCCCCTGAGTAACAATTCTGTGTCCCTCAGTAACAATTCTGTGTCTGTCCCTCAGTAACAATTCTGTGTCCCTGAGTAACAATTCTGTGTCCCTGAGTAACAATTCTGTGTCCCTCAGTAACAATTCTGTGTCCCTCAGTAACAATTCTGTGTCCCTCAGTAACAATTCTGTGTCCCTCAGTAACAATTCTGTGTCTGTCCCTGAGTAACAATTCTGTGTCCCTGAGTAACAATTCTGTGTCCCTCAGTAACAATTCTGTGTCCCTGAGTAACAATTCTGTGTCCCTCAGTAACAATTCTGTGTGTCTGTAACAATTCTGTGTCCCTGTAACAATTCTGTGTCCCTCAGTAACAATTCTGTGTCCCTCAGTAACAATTCTGTGTCCCTGAGTAACAATTCTGTGTCCCTGTCCCTCAGAGTAACAATTCTGTGTCCCTCAGTAACAATTCTGTGTCCCTCAGTAACAATTCTGTGTCTGTCCCTGAGTAACAATTCTGTGTCCCCTGAGTAACAATTCTGTGTCCCTGAGTAACAATTCTGTGTCCCTCAGTAACAATTCTGTGTCCCTCAGTAACAATTCTGTGTCCCCTGAGTAACAATTCTGTGTCCCCTGAGTAACAATTCTGTGTCCCCTGAGTAACAATTCTGTGTCCCTGAGTAACAATTCTGTGTCCCTCAGTAACAATTCTGTGTCCCTCAGTAACAATTCTTCTGTGTCTGTCCCTGAGTAACAATTCTGTGTCCCTGAGTAACAATTCTGTGTCCCTCAGTAACAATTCTGTGTCCCCTCAGTAACAATTCTGTGTCAATTCTGTCCCTGAGTAACAATTCTGTGTCTGTCCCTGAGTAACAATTCTGTGTGTCCCTGAGTAACAATTCTGTGTCCCTCAGTAACAATTCTGTGTCCCTCAGTAACAATTCTGTGTCTGTCCCTGAGTAACAATTCTGTGTCCCTCAGTAACAATTCTGTGTCCCTCAGTAAACAATTCTGTGTCCCTCCCTGAGTAACAATTTCTGTGTCTGTCCCTGAGTAACAATTCTGTGTCCCCTGAGTAACAATTCTGTGTCCCCTGAGTAACAATTCTGTGTCCC